AGGCTCAGGGTGGACGACACGTACTCGGCGTTGCAGCGGAGGATCTTGCACTGAGAGTGAGCTGAGGACAGAGGGAGGGGACCGTGAGCCGGTCCTCAGGCCCCTGCTCTGCGGAGTGCGCGCCTCGCTCTCCCAAACCAACCCACAGGACGCCGGCTGTCCTCCGCCCGGCTAAGGGCCCCCTGCTGTCCCCGGTCGGTCTTGCTGAAAACCGCGCCACACCCTGATCTCTCCTCCCTGTCGGCCAGAACGCTGCCCCAGTGCCCTCCCCCAGGTTGAGTGGGAAATCCACCTAGTCCAGCGACGCAACCGAACACGGGACTTGCACCCGCGTGTCCTCGCCCCGCGCTCATTCACTCCCGCCCCTGCCTGCTGCTCGCCCTCTCGCTTCCCAGACCCTTCCCTGACTCTTCCTTACCATGTCCGCAGAGAAGCAGCAGGAAAGTGAGAGTGCTTAGAGTTGGGGGACCGCCGTGGGGGGACCGGGGACCAGGGGACCCACTCGGATCCCCCATGCCTATCCAGCCAGGTCCCCCCAGGCGCCGGCTCTTCCCAGCTGATGACTTTCCTACCTGGTGAATTTTGACCGGCAGTCCTGGAAGTGACTGAAAAAAGAAATTTGGCTGAGCATGGAGAAAGAGAAGAGTTGAAGACTGGTCAGGGAGATCAAGAAAAGGATGAGCAGACCGTAGACCATAGGTGTTTCTGGGGAGGCTCTGTCCCCTGTCCACTCTCAGGTCCCTTGTGCAATACCTCCAGCCGGGGGTGGAGGGAGAGTTGAGTGAACTTGGTGGGCAGAGTCCACTGTATTACCCCGTCCTGAGCTACCAAACAGCAGATGTGTTTGAAGGAATCCCGGGGATAGAGTAGATGTCTGCCCTCTTAGTGGGTTCCCTGATAGAACTAGGATCTGAAAATACTTCAGAAACGGATCTCCTGCTGTCCCCGCCCCCCAGCACAGCAGACACTCTCCAGGAGCCACTCGTTTCCTTTTCTCCTTTGTGTCAAAAGAACACAAAAAAGAGTAGACGGGATACTCGTGCCCTCTAGAACATTAATGCTCAAATGGAAAATGGAAAGGGAGCCAGTCTCTTCCATCTGCTGCAGTGGCCTGCGGTTGTAATCCTTCTGCTCATAGAATAATGGCTGCAAAGTGTGTGATTCAATATTTGCTTTCTTCTAAATTAATAGTTCTTGTATTTTTCAAAACCTAACTGAAGAACAGTTCTTTCCTTTGCAAAATCAAAGTTCCTAGTCTTTTGAGGGCACTGGCTGAGGCGAGGTCAACTCCTTACCTCGCTCCTGCCAAATTCTCATCTTTTGAAGTAAGGATATGATTAGGGAAAGGGTCCTGCAGGAGGGAGAGTAGTGCAGAGGGGCTGGAATTGTGGGAGAAACCATAAACACCAAGGAGTGTCCTTGGTAGCCCTTGGCAGCCCAATATGGAGAGTACTGCTAAGTAGGGGTATGATAGAAGAATGTTAAATTTGGCCTTGATGAGAAAACTAGAGTAGAGGGCATGGAGAACTCCTAAAACTGTCAGAAGTCTTGAAGTGGGGGTATAGGGTGTAGCACAGTGGAGAAGTGCTTGCTTAGCATGCACAAGGCCCTGGGTTTGCACAAGGCCTTGGGTTTGATTCCCAGCACTATCACCAAAAGCAAACCCAAACCAAACAAAGTATAGTTAACCGAGTCTGCCAGAAGAGACACAGAACATTACACCCCACATGGCCTGCAGATGAAGACCAGGAGGAAACGAGACAGGACAAATGGGGTTTGGGGCACCCTAATTTTTGGACCACAGACATCCAAGTAGGTGTCTGCAATTTTATAAAAGTCGCACCTCAATCCTAAAGCTTTTTAAAGCAGTTGCAATCTCATTTTGACTTACTGTTTCCAGAGGTCAGACATTACCCTGGTATCCAATTCTCCAGCCATGGTTGCCTATTCTGTTGGCTTGTTGCAGCCAGGGGCTCCCCGACTGGCTGATTCTTCATGTTTCCCCCAGCTCCGCAGCCCGCAGACCAGCTGCAATCTTCCTGAGGTCAGGGAGCGCAGAAGTTTTGGTATGGGGGAAGGGAGAGGACACGGCTTGACAGAGCCCGGGACAGCTGAGCGGGGGAGGGAGGTGGCTACTGAGTTGTCTGTTTTAAAAATAGCTAAGTCCAAAATTCCAGGAAGGTTGGTGGCAATAGGGTATGGGAGTGTGGAGGCACGGGGGAGGGCAGGAAGATTAGACAGAATGTGGAGTCCTGGGTGCCAAGTGCGTTTGGGGGAGACAGGCAAGTCGGATATCTAATTCCAGCTTATCGGTCTCTTAAGTCACTGACCCCTCCAGGAAGCCCTCCAGCCTTCCCCCCACCCTGTACAGGGACTTGAACTTGGGACCTTGTGCTAGCCAGACAGGCGGCAGAACTACTGAGCTAAATCCCCGGCCCCAGCCTTCTGGATAATGAGCTGCTGGCCTTTAGAAATTACACTGGACAGTTGCACGTCACCCATTCAACACTCTCATCACTGCTGAACAGTACACGTGTGTCCGTGGCGAAGCCCCGGAAGAGGCAGTGAGCAGCCCCTCCCCCATCTCGGCAGGGTATTTCACAAAAGAAGAAAGCCAGCTGTCCAAAGAAGAAACCTGAGCTCTGACTTGTTTGGGATGAGGGGTTGTGCAGTCTCTCTAGCTCAGATTCGTGCAGCTGTCTGTACCCCTGCCTCCTCCGCTTTCCTTACCTTAGTTTGCCCAGCAGTTCCTCCCCCTCCTCTGCCTCCTCACCCACAGCACGGGAGCTCTGAGTTGCTGGGGGAGAAGCCTAACAAAAGCAAAGAGGTAAAGAAGGGATGGAAATAAAGTGTCTTGGAGGTTACCGATCCATAGGGGAGGGGAGCTGGACAGAGAAGCTTAAAAAGATTCCGAAACATGCTCTTGCAGAAGAGCATGAACTTGTGTCTTTGAAAGATTTTGCAACCAAGGAATTTGGCCACGTAATTTGTGCAACTACAGGCCTATCTGGGTTCTCCATGTTGTAGCACTTCAAGAGAAGTTAAGCAAGGATACTACAAAAGTGTCAGGAAGGCATCTGTACCAATTAACTCTACATTTAATTCAGGATGTGTGGGTCCACACAGCATTCTTCTCAGACATGCACACGCACGCACACACACACACACACACACACACACACACACACACACACACGCACGCACACACACACACACACACACACACACACACACCCCGCACCTGGTACTGGGAATTGCATTCAGGTCTTTACTCTCAGCTACATTCCCAGTTTATGTTTATTTTTTCCAGACTAAGTTGTGATCCTCCTGCCTCAACCTCCCAGAATGTTGGGATTACAGGCATTCACCACCATACATGGCTGTAGTTTCTGTAGTATTCGAGATTGAACCCGGGGAGCACCACAATACATCCCCAAGCCTTTTGATTTATTTTGAGACAAGGTCTCTCTAAGATGATCAGGTTAGCTTTGAACTTTCAAGCCTCCTACCTCATTATCCCAAGCAACTGGCATTACAGGTGTGCACCACCATGCCTGGCATGTACACACAGGCATAGTTTTATGACAAATTTAGTTTTTCCTCTCCATTTCTTGAGGCCATATCACAGGTTTATTTAAAAAATGCAAAATGCCCCCAACTAATCTAAATGACTTTAAAACACAATAACTTGGCTGTAACATACAAAATGGTATATGTTCTAATAATAAAAATAAGTGCAAAAATATTTTAAAGTATTCATATTATTGGTGGTAGTTGTTAGGATTATTTTTGTGTTTGTGTTGGCATTATTCTAGAACTAGTTGGGGTGTATTGTGGGATAAAACAAATGAGTAGAGCTGGGCATGATGGTGCACGCCCATAATCCCAGCATTCAGGAGGCTGAGGCAGGAAGATCGCCATAAATTGGAGGCCAGCATGGGCTACATAGTGAGTTCTAGGCCAGCCTGGATTACATAGTGAGACCTTGTCTCAAAGAAAGAAAAAAAAAAAAAAAAAAAGGGCTGGGGATGTGGTTCAGCAGCACAGCACCTGCCTGGCAAGTGCAAGTCCTTGAGTTCAATTCCCAGTAACAACAACAATAACAAATGAGTAATAATATCAGTGTTATTGAGAACCAGGATTTTTTATGTGGAATAAAGAGATAATGATTTATTTTGATGAAGTTAAGTTAAAAAAAAAAAAAACACTCTGTAGGGCCAGGGATTTAGCTCAGTGGTACGACTGCCTGCAAGTGCAAGATTCCCAAGTTTGAAACCCCACACAAAACAAAACAAAAAACAAACCTGTATGTATAATTCCAAATTTAAATTTCAAAGGCTGGGGATTTGCACCTGCCTCATAAGCACAAGGTTCAATCCCCGGTACCAAATTTAAATTTCAAGAATAACTGAGATCATGATGCATTTTATCCTAAAAAAATTTCCCAGGTTTCTCCTGCAAAGGCCTAGAAACAATGACCCTGTAGCAACGAATGCCTCTAGTGTCCAAGTTGCACTCTCTTTTTCCATCCAAAGGAACCAGGATTTCTTGAAGATACAGGTGATTCCAGGTTTGGGACTGGAATTGTTCAAGTTAAACAAGGAAACTTTTAGAAACTATTAGGATTATATCAAAAGGATTCCAGAGGCAGCTAGAATATAGTAGTTACCAGTAGTTACCAAAGATAAGCCAAGCTGATTATCAAAATGTGTATTATGTGTAATAGATTAAAACACATCAGGGCCGGTGATTTAGCTCAGTGGTTCTGCTCCCTGCTTCATAAGAGCAAGAGCCTGAGTTCAATCCCTGGAACCAAAAAAACAAAAAAAAAAAACACCAAAACCAAAAACAAACAAAAAACACATCAGGTAGGGGCTGGGGGTTTAGCTGGGGGGTTTTGCCGCCTGCCTTACAAGCCCAAGGTCCTGAGTTCGATGCCTGGTACCAAAAATTAAAACACATCACGTATATTTAAATCCATGAATTCATACTGATAGTTAAAAGTTGAAACTTACTAGTCTTTGTTAGAGACAGCTACTGGGTCAATTAATTATTTTGAAAACTACTAGTAATTGGAAAGAATCAAGTATTTATCTTGGTTTTCTTATGGGAACAATACTTTGTAATGACAGGAAATTTTTTATAGCAGTTTTCCAATAAATAGATGAAGGAGTAACAGAATACCAGTGTTTTGTAATTTCTAATGAATTAATTTATCTAAGTAATATGCAAAATACCCATAATCCATTACAAAAAGAGAAGGAAACATTATGTCTTCCTGTTTCTAAGTGGGGTATACAACTCCACCTTTTATGAAATAGTAGCCTTCCAATGCTGGGGGTAGTGGCACACATCTATAATCCCAGCACTAAGGAGGCTGAGGCAGGGAGGATCGCTGCAAGTTCAAAGCTAGCTGGCACAGTGAGTTCAAGGCCACCCTGAATTACAGAGCAAAGCCCTGTCTCTAAAAAGAAAGTCCAACCTTGCAAAAGCAAAACAAAAACCACTTCCCTCTGAATTTGATCAGCCTCTAGTCTAGAGCTACCTACTAATTTTCAGGGAATACAAGAGACATCAAATGTACCTCCGTGGTGCAGATTTTGACTACGACAGTACAGGACAAATGACTTGGGTTCTTCAACAAATAAACGGAAAAAAGTATGGAGAGGTAACCAATAGACTGAAAGGGATTTAAGAGACTTCAAACAATTGCAGACTTTATTAGGTCCTAAGTTTAAAAACCAAGAAAATTATTTTTTTTTCCTGAACTTATCTATGTTAAAATCCTAAAGACCAAAACACAAGGGTCATCATCTTTTACAGCAAGAGGGTGGCTAGGCAGAGCGGCAGGTCCTCCCTCCTGCTTCCAGCTCCACGTCACCCTGACCAGCGCTGGCTCCCAGGGGGACCCTCGTCTCAGCATGGTTGCTCGCCGTTGACAGCTATGCCCACCCGGGGTCCCAGTGCAGTGGTGCCACTGCCGCAGATATCCTGGTGGGGCAGAGAGGAGAGAACCTCGAAGGTTTTGAAGACACCCCCGCCCAGGCACTGGCAATGTAGGGCTGCTCAAGATGCATCCAATCTGATGTGTGACCTGAAGTAGTTTGCTTACCCTCTCTGGACCCAGGTGCTCCCTCCTGTAAACTGAGGGGTGGGATGAACCAAGAGCTCCTGCTGCAAATCCACGAAGCCCAGTCCAACAGTAGATCCACGTTACATGGGTTCAAATCCCAGGCCTAATGGTTGGAGGTTGGAAGTTCTTGTTTGGCTAACCCTTCTATGCCTCTTTTTCTTCTATCCAGTATGGATAATCATGTATCTTCCTGCCAGAGTTTTCACAGGGACTACATGCGTGGGTGCTGTGTATGTAATAAATGATATCCGCCATATGAGATGCATGTTGTTTCATCCCAGGAGAGTTGTGGTCATCATTGCTGAGTTTCAGACACCTGATGGGAAATTATGTGTTTACTCCTAGCAAGGTGGTAGACTCAGCTTGGATAAGATTAGTGCAAATTCAGGGTGGTGATAGTGACTTTCTCCTGCTGACCCACAGCTTTGGTAGGCAGTTCTACGTTGCTTTTCTTAAACTTTAAAGATGTAGGATTCTTTTTCTCTTTGTGTAGTTTCTCTTCTTGAGAGAAGAAAAATTTCACAACCTGGAGGAGGTCCGTACAGGAGTCTACCCTAAAGAAATAATCAGATATTCACAGAAGTATATTTGGGTACAAAGGTGTTCACTGTATCACTATTTTCTTTTTTCCTCTTTGAAACAGGGTCTCACCATGTCATTTAGGCTGGTCTTGAACTCACTATTTAGCCTAAGCTGGCCTCAAATTTGTGGTGATCCTCCTGCTTCAGCCTCCCAAGTGCTGGGATTGTAGGTGTGCACCAAAGTGCCCATTTTGAAAATTATTAAATAACTGGGGAAATTCGAATGTCGATAATAAGGCCGGGGATTTAGCACAGTAGCACTACACCTGCCTGGCAAGCACAAGGTCCTGAGTTCGACCCTCGGTACTAAAACCAAAACAAACAAAAATATTTCCAACACACTTGATGATTTATAATAAATTATTGTTAAACTTGTCTGGTGAATGGTACTCTTTAAAAAGTGTGTTTATCTTTTAGAGATGCATCTTGAAATATATACAGCTGAAAGAATACTCTATCTGGGATTTGCTTCCAAACAATCTGGGATCAGGGTGAAGTGTGTGGGGTAATGATAAAATAATATTGACACATATACTTGTTGAAACTTGTGACGAATATTGTATTAGTTTTCTATCACTGGGACAAAATACCTGACATAAACAATTTCGAGGGGGAAAGATTTACATTGGCTCAGGGTTGCAGAGGTTTCAGACCATGGTCATCTGGCTCCATTGCTGTAAGGCTGTGGCCAAGCAGAAACATCATGGTGGAGAAAAGCT